CAAGAGTCGCCGGCACTTTTTGACAAATAATCTTTAATGAAGCACAATGTTATTTGTTTTAAGTGCCACTAACCCCTCAATATTTTTAGTATTGATTCTACATGAAGTGAATACTGAGTTGAATGATAAACACTATACTATGTCTATTCTTTTGGGTACATATTTACGGTGTTCAACTTACCGATAGAGAAAAAATATCGCTCTGGGATCCTCACGAGTACCCTACCTTTCATATTCCGGCTGCGTTACCAGCGTKGTTGGTCCTTGTMGTGTAGTGGTTAACACAKCGGACCAAAGACGTGGGTTCGMTTCCCGCCAAGGSCATTTSATATTTTTCTCTTATTCTCTCTTACACACACCGAACGCATAATTCATTACTACTATTGAATGATAAACATGTTATTTCATCTTTACATCATTTTTTATTTTACACTTGCACTTGCTAACAGTAATTTGAATCTTAATTAAGTCGGCAGTGAAGTTAGCGTTACTCTTCACGGTACTACTATAGTTATCTAGAACCTCTTCTAAAAATGCTAGCAACAAAGGTTCAACCTTTGCAAAACACTTCTACGATTTTCTAATGGTTGTATTACGGTATAAGCAAGAGTACAACCCATCSCTAACTCCATCATACGAAAACACGTCTGGAAACCGTACCAAGGCCAGGGAGCGGGATTGAMGACYCTAGAGTACAGRCCATATASCCCAACCATRGAGTAGATCTGTAGACCACAACACACAAACCCAAGAAAGGCAGTCAMYATTGTGATCTTGGCTACTTTGACGGTTGACTTCTTTCTTCCTGCATTTCCATCGTTGCTCGTTTCTTGTAGGTTAATCTGGTTGAGTTGTTTCTTGGCTCTCCTCGATGTCAAGATGACTTTACCTCCACTGTAGAGAAAAGCGATGGAATTGATGAATCCCCAGACGATGAAAAACGACTGACAGACAATCAGAAGCTCAGTYTTGTCTGCTTCGAGTGCMACRGTTAWWTCWGAWACCAGAACAACGRTGAAATGCAAGACAATGATGGAGAATACGAATGGTAGACTGTGGARCTTCTTSGAGCCAAGCTGTAGTTTGGATACTTCCAGAAAAGCCACATGAACGAGACAAAAGGCAGAAGTTAGACAAGGAAAAGYAAGACCAAAGAGAACTCKTGTTAGCCATAATTCAATATTGAAGCCATGTTCTGAAGACCCATAAGGATCAGTCAACAATAAAAGAGCACGTACTGATCCAAAAATAACAAGCAGAGAATTAATGGCATAGAACAAGAGCCTCCTKGTAAACGCTTTACGCTTATCAGCCATCAGCATCGCAACGAGTGAATGCACSGCTATCAGAGCAAAGGCAAMACCAAGTCCTATCCAGTGCACTTGCCAAGCTTGACCCCAGATTCTTTTTGCTACGTACCAATTTGGACCTGGTTCTGGATCGGCATTTGGGTTTGCCGTTGAGGTTTGCATTATATCGAGCCGATAGCCTTTCTTGAAGGATCCTTGAAACAAAAGGTTTTCTCATTGCACTAATTACTATATAGTACAAAWTAGTGCTAATTAAACAATAGAAAACAATGGAATTTGCATGAAATTGTGCTATTTAGTATTACTAAAGTTTCACGGTTATATTGTTTGCATTCTACTACAGGGAATCAACAACTAAACCAATCAGACGGTTGCATGATGGCGTCATTTGATTACCACTACCAATTAAAATGCCTAGCGAAATTTCTAATTCGAATTACACCTTTTGCTGTTCATTAACCGCGAAGGAATATTCATTGAGGCGAAGAAGCATTGTTATTAGAGCGAACAGGCATACAATAAGGCGAACGGAGTCTCAAGAGTGCGATGGAACGTTCATTAAGAAATTTAGCATTGAATTTGACAATATATGTTTGCGTGGGTTCATTAACGTTTCCAAAATTCATTAGTACGAAGTSATATTCACGGCTTGTAAAAAAAAGAAAGACATTGTATTCTCTACTTTCACATTCCCATAATGCCTAGTGTCTTTGGGGGGTAACCAATCAAAAAACTGTCCCAAATTGAAAGGTTTCTTAATTGAATTTATACCATACCTGCTTTTATCTGTACAATACTGATTATCAGTTTATTCCAAGTTATTTTTGCGTGTACAGATCATCAAGAGTTTTGGTCTTACAGAAAATGTATTGACTTACGAAAAAAATGTTTAAAATTTACCATAAACGTCTTCAAGCTTC